CATCTGCATAACACAGGTTATTGATGAATCTCCTCTGATCCTGATGCCACATTTGTCCTCATAGATTCCAGCTTCTTGAATAATTTGCTCAGAATACAGATTGAATAGGTATGGAGAGAGAATACAATCCTAACACACTCCCTTCTTAATTTAAACCCTACATAGTTTTCCTCCAGACTTCTCACAGGAGGCTTCAAGCTGGAGACTTAGTGGGGCCAACCAACTTTTAAATACAAAGGTCTGCCCACTAGATCCTTAGTAATTTACCTCACAGACAATAGTTGCAGATCGATATAAACTGCAAGTTTATTTTCAAATCTTTGTACATTAAAAAGAAATTGTGTATTTAGACATGTTTGTTCATTCATTCAACAAATATTTTTTTGGTATCAGGTCAAAAGTTTATATATGCTAAGTACTCTCCCAGGTATGATTCCGACTCATAAGTAGTTTATATTGTAATAGGGAAACAGTCACTGGGCACTAATGAAGTTCACTGAAGAATGGTGAGTGTAAGTATATATGAAAAACCTTATTGGTGAATCGATTTTGTAAAATGGGCAATCCTTGCATAACTTTCATTCATTAAAAGTGTTGCTGTGTTGTCCTGAAAAAACATTTACATTAGTTTATTTTCTTAAAGGTAAATTATCTAAATCACTTGTTTGAAACATTCAGAATAGATTAATATGTGAATAATTATAATTACAACAAAGTCAACTGGAAAGTTGTAAGTGTTCCTTTTCAAAGGTAATTACTATTGAACTTCAGTGCATTTCAGTCTAATATCACTGATCATTAATGTATAATGTTTATTTTTATTCTTTAGAGATCTGTTGTCCTGTGAAGAGCCAATGCATCTATATTCAGAAACTAAGGTATGAAGTAATATTTTTTCTAAAGAAAATGAAGTTCTGTAAATTTTATGTTATAGTTTGTACTTTTCTGTCACAAAACAAAGAAGAGGTGTGACTTCTGAAATAGTATATAAATCTCAATAAAGAGAAGGCATATGTTAATGAAATGTTACTCAGAAAATAGATTGGATCCTTTTATTTGTCTCAATTCCATTGAATAGTTTAGAGATACCTTTCCTATTGAGAATACACACACACACACACACACACACACACACACACAAAATGTGTTTAAAGCTTGAGACTTTTAAGATTTGTTTTAGAAGCTGAAATCACATAGGTAGAAGACCTGAACAAAAAAGGTACTGATTATATAAAGTTGTTGTTGTTGTTAGGTGCCGTCGAGTCGTAGATGACTCATAGCAACCCTATGAACAAAAGGCCTAAGCACTGTTCAGAGAGATGCCACTCCTGCTTCCAGGCTTTTTTTAATTGGGAAGCTCCAGCAAACACAGTCCACCATAGATAACCATTATCACATTTGACACATCAGTGTCACAGTGTTCCACATCACAGCAACCATGAGTTACCTTTGTGGAGCAATGCAAAGACCAGTGCTATACCACCTAGAAGAATGCTTGACAGAAAAACAATTTGAACCAGGCCTGAGGCCTGCAGATTAGAATCACCCACCTTGGCTTGGTAGCATAACTTTCTGTCCACTAGGCCAAATGTAGCTCTCTCTACATCTTCGTTGGATATATAAAGTAGATGCTCTAAAAGATTCATTCGTTCATTTAAATATTTTTGGTGCATAGGTGCTTGGCATATTGGGATTTATAAGTTCTCTGCATGGACATCAAGGCCAGCAGAATAGTAAATAAATGTTAATACAATGAGAGGCTTGTCTGGTGAATAATCAATCAGTTATTGAAGAGAATT